GTTTAATCTCTTTTGAATCAGTTATTCTCTGTCCATTGGTGTCCTTTAGCATACTAATTGAAGTATGGAATTATCTTCTGAGTTCAGAGATCTCATGGAAGATTTTCCTTGTTTCTCTGTGTCTATTTTCATCTTGATGTCTTTACAGATGTGATTATAATACTACTGCTTGTCTCTTCTAACAGCTCTCTGAAATACTTTGTTAAGTTCCTTCCTGAGATCTTTGTCTTTCTTCACTTTGGCTTCTCTTCTGTGCAATGTCTGCCATCATTTCTGACATACAATTTATTTTCTTCTGTTTCCTGATCTTTGGCAGTCTCTTTTCACATTCATCCTAAATAATGTCTTTGATTTCATTCCACAGTTCCTGTTAATGAGGCTCAGGACTTCAAAGTGATTCCTGATGTTCTCCTTGAAAATATGAGCATATACTCAAGATCATATCATGGAAACTGGTTGGCTTTGTTCTACTTGATCTTAAATTGGAACTTCCACATAAGCAGTTTGTGATCTGTTCCACAATCAGTTCCAGTCACATTTCTGCTCTTAAAACTGAGTTCTTCCACCTCTGTGTACCAATAATATAACCAATTTGATTTCTGTGTACTCAATCTGGTGATGTCCATGTATATAGATGTCATTTTGGTTGTTTGAAGACTGTGTTACCAATTAAGAAATCACTGAATTGGTAGAAACTTGCAAGTCATTCTCCTGTTTCATTTCTGTTTACTAGGCCATATAGTCCAGCTATGTTTTCCTCCTCAATTTTAACTAGGTATCCCTATTAATTATTAGGTTGTAACTCAAAACTTGGCAATATCAAATGTTGAGATTGTAGTTAAAGGTGTTACTGTAGCCATGGCAACAAAATCCCTGAATCTATCATAATTTTTACCACTTTTGTTTTTAGTGAAGGTTAATGTTGAGACTTGCCAGTGTTGTCTGAGGATTACTAAGGAAACAAATGAATGAAGGATGCAACAGCTCTGGTGTGCAGCTGTTAAGTGCAGGTGTGCTTTGGAAGCAAAGTTGAAAGAATCTTTTGTGATGTTCATCTGCCTCCATCAGAACTATTCCCTGTCTTTTGCAGCTTTTCATCCTGCTCTTCCAGTTTTTTTCATCGAGACACCCAAGTTTTCAAATCATTACCTTTCCAGTGCCAGTTTCTTCTCCTTCTATTACATTGACTTCAGAAACTATACATCTCTCAGTTCTGCAATTTGAGTTTCAAAGATGGTGATACACATCCAACTTGCTCCCATTGCTGCAGTAGTGTCAATATTCTGTAAACGATCACCTATGTCAGAACAAGGATTGAGTAGAACAACAAAAAATAATAAGCATGGAAATCAGTGTGCTGAGAAAAACTCAAAGCCTTCATAAACATCTCTTCACTCACCCTGCTTTGAAATCCAAGGGCCATCTTTTCAGTACTGTAGTGATAATCAGTTCACATTCTATAATAGCAATAGAGGCTTCAGTAAATATAATCCAGCAATATTCTCTCCATTTTTTATGACATATAACATAATCTCCTCAACCACTCTCATCCTAATGGGAACAATTGTTTGCATTGCCGTACTTCATTTTTAAATATGTAGAAGTCATCCATGGTGGTAGAAGGAAAAACAGCTCATTAGACAATGTATTATCTTATATGGAAGGATTTACATTAAATAGAATTGTTCGGCATTGCAAATAATTACTAAGGAGACAAATATCCACCACTTGCTACATTTGCTTGTGAGACTCATTTTTGCTATTCTCTCTTCTTTAGCATTAAAAGCCTGTTGACACTTAATGGAAATAACATTACTTCATCTTCAGTGAGATCTGGTGGAAAGAGTATTTGGGAGAGAGGCAATTCTTGCTGGTTCAGAAAGTGCCTCTTCCGGCAAGTGGTTCAGATATTTTTAAAGGCCTGTCTATACTGACCTATTGCTTGCATTTGAGATGAATGTTGTACATTTTCTTTCTCTGTATGTGACTATATAGTATTGGCTTTCTAGATTTGATCTTACAATTATTACCAAGTTACTTATCTGAAAGTATTGTTACTGTTGTCACATTCCACAATTATAATAAGATATGAAATTATAAAGGATGGCTCTATTGCTGAAAATACAGTCTTAACTTGTCAAGATAAACATGCTACAGAAAAACATTTTAATAGAAAGTTTTGTGTCTAGCATAGCTTCCTCCATGGTGTGTTAGTGGCAGAGGGTTAATGAGCACGTGGTAATCCTAGTGTTGCATGTTAATTAAGGTAATTCAACTCTGTGCTTTTTGTGAATCTCCAGCTGGTGATTGCATTGGCGCAAGACTGTAATTAGTCTTTATTTCCCTTTTGATGTCTTTTGTTTAAAAAAGTTTTAAAGAAGCCTGGAATGATTAGGCACATTTTATCCTGTGTATGTAACTGAATCTAATTACATAAATGTACAGCTATGATTACATAGACAAACCCTTTTCATTGAGTATGATCTCATTTATTCATTTTAGTTTATTAAAGAAGACTCTTCTTCATTATGCATTCTTGATAGAGAAACAGTAATTTTTCAATCAGTTTTGAATATGAAGAAGACCACAGTGGAGCAACTAATACTTGATTCTTTACTGTAAATTCAGTGTTCAGAATAAAACTACAGTACACCCTCAGTGTGGAAGAGTCCATTAAAGCCAAATGTTTGTTAAATGGCAAATGGGATTTTTTAAGTCTAAAAACACTCCTTTATGAGCAAAACTGCATTACTTATAACTGTGAATACCCATTGTAAGCAGAAGCAGTGAAGAGTATCTGATCTGCTAAGCAGTGGATTTTGTTCATTGTTCAGGGTAAAGCGTTACTATCTGAAATTGGATCCAGTCGATTTTGTCTGTTAAGTAGATGGGTTACTGTAATCGGAATCCTAGTTGATTGGATTGGCTTATAAATACAGTAAGTAAATAAATAAATTTAAAATGCAGAAATTCCCATTAAAAGTGCAGTAGTAACTAAAACAAGTTATATTTAAAGCTCATTACAATGTACATAAAAAGACATCTCTAGGTAAATCTTTGATTTCATCACAAAGCAGCTTGAGCTACATCTATCCAAGCTATTATTGTGACACTTTGGGACAGATGTTACCATGCTGAATTCACCTGAACTTCTGTGAAAATGCAAGGGGACAAGGAGAGTTAGATGGAGGAATGCAAGTTATTCCATTTTACTAATTTATAGCAAAAACAACAGAATCAGGTGGTACCTTAGCAAATACAATGTGGTGTAACATTTTCTAGTTTACAACCATGTTTATTGGGTGTTTGACTTGTTGTATGTCAGGGGTACATATATACTTGCCGTGCAAAAAAGCTCTTAATGCATCTGGTGACCTCTATTGTAGTACATGATGCTTACACTCTATTTATCCTTTAATGGACCAGAAGATGCTTTATGGCGTTATTCTTATAGTAATTGATGGTTTTTAATTCTTCAGAGTTTTATTATCTGTTAGCTTCTACTGTTGCAAGGTTACCTGAATTTTCATATTTATAATAATATTGATGGGAGATGGCTGTTAATATCTGGCCATTTTCAGATTTCTGCAAGGAGGAAAATAGCTTCGTTTAGTATGAAAAGGTTATGATTTCAATTTCATAGGTGAGATGGGACATATGTAGTCAGATTATTTATAGGTTGTGATAGCTTAGATGAGGCTGAAACAAGTATTTTTATAATGAAATATAAAAGTCATCAGTGGTACAATAAGCTAAATGGTTCTGTAGAAATAGACCTGCATTCCAATATGTGGTTAGATTTTATGTTCCACTGGAAGTTTTTGCTACGTTTCCTAGAATAGAATGGGCTGGGCTGGGCTGGGCTGGGCTGGGCTGGGCTGGGCTGGGCTGGGCTGGGCTGGGCTGGGCTGGGCTGGGCTGGGCTGGGCAGGAAAGATTAGACAAACTAACAGAGATGGCTGGATTTATGAACTATTGCAGATGTTTTTATCTCTGCATTAATAAAATAGTTTCCTATTTGGACCTTTAAAAAGCTTATGAATAGATATAGTCTACTTTGAGCTGCTGGTTTTTAAAAAAATCATCATTTGTGGATGGTCTTCTGAAGAACAAACTGCATACAGTAAATACCTATTCTTGGTTATTGGTAGGTTTGTTTGTTTTGGTGAGAATTATTAGTGGAATAGCATGGATGAATGGATTTCAATCTTTTACAACCACCTGCCTTTTCTGCTGAAAATTGCCCCAAACCAACTGTGTTCTGGCTTGTGCTGTTCAGGATAGGTATATGTTTTCAGCTACATAAAACAACAAGTTCAAATTCCTGTTTACCTTGGCCTTGGGGGAAGATCTGGATAAGCATAATCAATATCAAAATCTGTTGAATGCTCATTCATGGTTAGAATTTTGTTCTCTTCACTAACTCTGTTCCTAGCAGTTAATACTTGCTTACAAGTGACAGACTGTAAAATGGGCTATCGATATATACCCACAGTAGTGTATGGAAGGTGAATGTATCAGCTAAGAACTTTCTTTTTTGTCATGTCCTCTTTTTATTCTTTGCCATGTCTTCTTACTGTTACTTGAGAATTTTCCTAGTGACTTTGAATGGGCATATTGTTAGTGCAACAAACCTCTGGAATGAGTTCAGATAATTGTGATGGTCACCAGAAGCATTGATTGCAAACAAAAATTCAGCAGCAACAGCTCCTTTAGGAAAGATTTCTGGCTTTTCAGTTATCAGTCTAAAAGCAAGATACATTAAAAAAAATAGAACCTGCTACAGGGTATATTAGATTACCACTTTTGGGGGTGAAGATTGAGGTTTTGCCCCACCATTTATTACTAATCTCCTTCATAGTAGCAAGACAAGAGTGCACATATTTGTTGCATTTTGGTGTTTGTTGAAATGCAGTAGTGCTGTGGGTCTGGTTTATTATATCTTTTAATAGGATTTATTGCTTAAAAGCTGGAATCACAGTTTCTGTTTTCCTTTGCAGTCTGTCCACAGCCATCCAAACCTGAGAATGGAGGTTATAAATGTCACCCAACACCTTGCAAAGATCCACTGACATCTGACAGTGTCATAGAGTATTTCTGTGACAAAGGCTACCTGTTGAAAGGAGATTACAAATATTTGACTTGCAAGAATGGCAAGTGGAATCCAGAACTGGAGGTTACCTGTAGACTTAGCCAAGGTCAGTGTGTCTGAGTGTGAATATGCTCACTTTTCCTTTCTGTGCTGCTGTTTTTGTCCAGTGTTTTCAGATACTGACATAAAGTCAGTATCTAGTTACACTTCAGGAAAGTATTTGGATAAATTTTCTCTAAAGAGAAATCTTCATTCCAAACTTCTTTCAGTCCTCTACCAGTTTAGCTATCATACAGTATATTCCCCATGTAATTCAGGAAACTGTAATTTGCAGAGATACAGAAAATATTGCCTAATATTTGCAGCTATTCTGACCCCATATCCGATACTGCGCGCGCACACACACACACACACACACACACACACACACAAACATAATTTCCAGAGAACATTTCAAGAAGGGGGTGATTATTAAACTAGATTAAAGTAATAAAAGGGTATTTCACATATATGTTGAATGCTTTGATTTTTTAACCAAGTTTTTTTTTAAAGTGCAGCCCTTTGAAGTAGCCATTTCTTGGACTGGGAAAGGCTTAGATCATGTTGGTTGGGAATTCTGTATGTTGTTGCCTAGTAGTAGTTGAATATGGCTACAGTGAAATGGCTCAACTTTATATGTTGCAGTGCCTGCCCTCTTGAACAAAATCATCCCAGAGAGTCAAATGGCCCCTACCGTGGCATTGTTTAAGCAAGCCATGAAGACCTGACTCTTCCCCTAGACCCTGGGTTAGGGTGTGTGGTGACCCCCTTTTGGGAATATGGATGATTGAGGTTTATGTTTCTATTGCTCCCTTAGGATGTCTTCTAGAGTGGATGGCCATAGTAAATTGAATAAATTAAATTAAATTTGTATATCTTTTTGGTAGGTTATGGTATGTTTATTATTTTAATATTGTATGCCACCCATTCTGGAGTTGGATGGCTTTAGAAATTTGACAGATAAATAAAGCAAGCACATAGCAATTTAATTGTAGAAGTATTTTGAGGAAGGGAGTTTTTGATACAACTTGATCATCGCCTGCTGCAGAAGAGTCTTCTTTACACCATCTTGTCTCTCTTGAAAAGAATTTTCTCAAAAGCAACTTAACAATTGTGTCTTGCAAGATTTTTCACCAGTTAGATAAGAATTCCTTTCCCATGATATGAAGCCAAAAAAAATAAAAATATTTCCCATGTAGCTTTAATTGACCAGGGAGCACTGGAGCAGCAGCAGGAGAGGAGTGTATGTCATTTAATAGAAATTTATGGGAAGAAACAAATTCTCTGAAGATCAGATGAATGGTGAAGCTGAAATGTTGATGTATACATTTTTTTACCTTCTCCAAAAAAAAAAAAAAAAGGTTTAACATAATCGGAAAAATACCAATCTCCTTATTGTCAAGCTTTGACTTGGCAATGGAATCTTCCCACAACATTCTACTTATAGTTTCCAGTGATGCTGATTTAGTCACATAGTTATAGTCAAAAAGATAATTCAGCTGCTTATTTTCTCCCCTGGAATAAAATAAACTTCAAAATGTAATCTTGAATATATTCATTATGGTTTTGGCTTGTATCCATATGATTTTAAATTCAGTTAACAAAAACCAAGAGGCCTGGGAGCTATCAGACAATTAAGATAGCGTGGGACTTCAGTTGAAAGGACTTGGGTTTGTTTGTCCCCCCCCCCCACCACCATTTATAACTTCCGGTTAAGATGGTGGAGAGAGAGGGAGCCATGTTCGGGCTGTCCTCTTAGTTGGCTGTGTTTGTGTGACGTTTCTTTGTTTTGGAGGCAGTTACCTGGATGGAGGCAGTTCAGGCTGTTCAGGTCGGACTGGACCAGAGAGTGGCATGCCGGAGGACAGCAGTGTTTGTGGCTTTGCTCCACTTGTCGCTTTGCTTCGTTTGGTGGCTTTGCTGCACTTGTCATTTGGCCACATTTGGTCCGTTGTGCTGTTGAGCTGCTTTTGGTTGGTCACGCTGCACCATCTTGTTAGGTAGTGGTCTTTTGGACTGGGGGCCGGGGTCTGACTCCTTTTCAGAAGACCAAAAACTGCTGCTGCTGAGGACTGGACGGCTGCTTAGACGCCAAGGGGCAGGTTGAGTGGCGGACTGCTGCAGGACTCTGTGAGATGCTGCTGCTGGACGCTTTTGCTGCTGGGGCTTTAGTTGGTGTTTTTGCTGGGGACTCTGCTGCTGGACGCCTTTGCCATTGCCTGATTCCTTCTGTACTATTGACTTCCTTCTTTTGTGGGACACCAGGGCTTGGAGGTATGGGCGGTGGATGGGGGGGAACAGTAGAGTGGCAGGCTACTGGGGACCCCTTCCCCCATGGAGGCCACCTTGTCTGCCCCCTGAGTAGCCCTGAGAAGGCAGAAAGGAAGAAATAACATGGCTCCGTATGTTTTCTTTTTTTAAAAAGTGCCTTGTGAATGGACTGTTTCCTCCTCTGGGTGAGAGCCAAGGGAGGAATTGCTGGTAGGTGAATGTGGGAAGCCCTCTTCCAGCGTATGGGAGCAGCAGGGGAGGGAGCCTCTGTGTGTTTGTATGTTTGAATGTGTTGTAATGTGCATGTATTTTCTAGTGAGTGGGGAGGTGGCAGCTGGGTACCCTGTTGGCACTGAGAGACTGTGAAGTTAAAGTACCTCAGGGTACCTGGGGGCTTGGTTCTGGGGTTAGGGCTACCATTGGGAGGTGGAGGCAGGCCAGAACATCATGGTGGTGTCAGACATGGGGAGATACGGAGGGAGAGAGGGAGCGGGCTGCCCTCAGGGAACGTGGAACTATTGTGTCATAATGGTTCTGCGTTCCAGCTCCTTGATCTCAGCTCCAATGCCCTGTCAGCAGACCTTCAGCTACCCTGGCCTCCGGCTGCTGCTACTGAATGCCAGGTCAGCTTGCAATAAGGCCTCCCTCATTCATGATCTAATCCAGCCTTTCTCAATCTTTTGACCCTAGATGAACCCTTGAAATATTTTGCAGGTCTTGGGGAACCTCTGCATATTCAGGCTCAAATAGAGGCCAGAAGTTACACAATTATTATATTCATTTCATGTGTAGGCCTATATATATCTATATCTATACACACACACACACACATACACACACACACACACACACAGATGCATGAACAGTATTCTTAAACTAAAGAATAAAACTTAGCTCTTTAATATGAAACCTGTGCTTGTTTCTTGCTGCACAAATACTCAATTCTGGGCTGAACTTGAGATAAGCACACACAGATTTCATCTTCAGCTGAAATAAGACAATTTTTGTCTTTGCTTTTGATGCTTGTTAAATAAGAAAGCTTGCTCACACGTGTAAGAAGTTGAAAACTGCAGCAAAACATTCAATGCCTTCCTATAAATGGCAGGATACTCTTCTTTCACAGAAATCCAGAACTTGTCCTTGGGGACAGATCAGGAAATCTCATCTTGAGTGTACAATCAGTCTGCAGCTCACAAAGTCCGTCCGTCCTTCCTTCCTTCCGAGCAGAAGATGCAGAAAAAGGATCCCTCACCCAGTCATATATTTGTGTTGAAAGGGAGGGAAAGTACTGATCAGTTTTATTCTGCAGTACTAACAGGTGGTTTTCAATTAGATTTGAGACTTTCTGGTATCCTTTCTCACTCTCAAGCCCAAGCAGCAGTGGAAACATTTCAATATTTCCTTTTGCAACATATTTTCAAACATTCAATTTTCTTTTAAATCCAAGAACCTTGTCACTTGAAGTCAAAACATTTTCTCCAGTGCCTTGAAGAGACTTGTTCAGCTGGTTCATGTGATGAAAGATGTCTACCAAGTATGCTAGTTTCTGCAATCATTCTCTATCTTCAAAGCATTCAACAAAATGTGGAATACTGTTTTCTCAAAAATACTCTTGCAGTTCTGCCTTCAGCTCAAACATCCTGTTGAGAACTCTTCCTCTGCTGCGCCACCTTATTTCTCTTTGTAACAGGAGACTTAGGTGCAGTTTGTCCAGGTTTTCACACAGTTTTTTAAATATTGTTGAGTGAACTGGTCTTTCTTTAATAAAGTTAACCATTTTTGTGGCATCATTCAGAATTTTTTTCATTTCATCTCCAAGAGTTTTTGACACCAACACCTCTCTGAACAAAGCAGTGTGTTGTGACAACATCAGGATTTTCTTTTCTTACAAGAGAAACAAAGCCTCTTATGGAGCCAACCATTGATGGAGCACCATCAGTACAAATGCCAACACAGTTCCTCCAAGACAGACTTTTTGTTTCCAGATCTGAAGACAAAACATTAAATACATCTTGGCCTTTGCATGTTTCATGTAGTTCTTTGCAGCAG